AACATGTATTTAATAATTCATCAAAAACAGATGAACTATTTATAACATGCGTAGAATATCAATGGCATCTGATCAGCTTGCAGAAACGTCGTATGTTCTTCTTCGTTCTTACACTTCATAAGTAGAATTCAATAAAATTCGGGTAAACCAGTAAAGTGTGTGGAATGTAGGAAAATGATCTTCTCTGGCTCTGATAAAATTAACATTCGTTTACTTTTTCTTTTTTTTCTTTCTTTCTTCTTTTTTTTTTTTTTTTTTTTTTTTTTTTTTTTTTTTTTTTTGCATATCGAATTTCACAAACAGAAAATCAGTCATTGCTCTTTTTATTTTACGATGGTTTAATGTTGCCACTCCACTTCAACTTAACTTTATCAAAAACTAGATGATGACACAATAAATCGATGTGATCGGAGAGACAGTGCATCGTTTGCTTATTTTATTTGTTATGAATTTTTAAAATGTTTAACGGAATTACTGATATATTTGTACTAAAACCGTGATATTCTGGTTATAAAAGAAAGCTCTAGAAATCTTTTATTTCACCTTGAAGATAAAGATGGAAATAAAATAGCAGTTTTAAGGCGGTAATGAAGTAGCCTTTGGATAATGCAAACAAGAAACTTCACACGTTCAATATAAAAACTCGCTGATTCTTGAGATATTACGCTATAAAAGTGTTTGGTTTCATAAATATTTAGCGTTTTATTCTAAATTTATAGTATAATATTCATAACACACTATATGAAGAGCTTGCCTCCTTTTTAAAAATATTTCATAAATATCTTTGTAACACGTAAATAAAATGTACTATGCCAAAAAGCGTTTTATTTATCAAAATATTTGCTAAAAAAAATAGTTAAATTATATAAAAATTATACGCTTTTGTAAATCTTTTATTTTCAGTCCTTTTTCTTAATCTGTTTATTGCATAAATTGTGCTAACTTCTTGCTGGCTAAATTAAAGCTGCATTAATTATTCCATTAAATAGTGTAGAAACGTTAAATCATGTTATATTTTCGAATGACCGTTGAGTAAATAAAGCCTTATACGAGAGAAAAATATTTTGTTTTTCTTTCGGATCATAGTCACTAAATTTATTTGTATTTATATAATATAAAACTTTGTGTTGGTTGGTAATCTTTAATTGAAACTGGTGATTAGTTTTCGACCTGTAAAATGGTCTTTACTGTACATAAATGACGTAAACAGAGAAAAAAATCTTACAGCACTCTTCTGGATCTTAAACTCACCGTGGATCCTTTTAAAAGAAAACTTTCTGCCAAACCAGTAGAACATGGTACTTTTTAGTGTTTAACGTAATGGTTCAAAAGTGCTTAATAAGAGTACATGTTTAATTTTTTAGTACAGTAGATTAACCAGAATACGACGTCCACGGTTATCCGTTATCACTGTTAATCCGAAGGCAGTTAAAAAAATTTAGAAACGAGGAATACTCGTACTAAAACTAAGAGAAAAAATGCTATTAACAATTTGAATGTATTTTCAAGCAGTATAATATGGACAGTAAGGTCTTTTGATTACTTAAATTAAATTAATATTTAAAACGCAAAGAGCATACAGCAAATAATAGAAGAATAATTATTAGAAACTAAGAAACTAAGTTATAAATGACATGTAAAATCAGTATTTACAAGAGAACTTGAAACAATTTCAACGATTCAGACTTGCGTGAAAAGAGTCTACTATAATTCTTTGTTTTTTTATTGTGCAGTATTTATATATTGTGGATTACGTACTGTTGTAGGATAAAAATTACCAAATGCTGTGACATCGTCGGCTGTCACTGCTACTATCCCATGCAATTTTCTCTTATGTATTTGCCATACATTGTTTTGTTTTTCTCTGAAGGTTTCTGGTAGTAATTTTTTCATCAATATTTTCTCTCAAATCTTTTCCTTCATTTAGTTTATCGCTGCGTTTTGTGAAAATTGTTTTAACGCCCGAACGATGGGCGCTCTTTTGTCTTTTTTCGACATTGGCCATTCCTAGGAGCCGGAAGTGTTGGCCATTTTATTGTGGAGGCACCTAATAGGCGGCCACCATTACCTCCTATGAAGGGACGGACGGTTACAACCATGCTTTCTCCGGTATTCGAACCCGGGCCCTTCGGTAATGTAATCGGCTTCTCTAACCACTATTACCATCTATGCGGCTTAACACCATATTTGAGAGGGTTTTCTGAAAACAATATGACATTTTATATGGCGCCTGTAGAATAAAAATAATTATTTTTAATAATCATTATATTTTAAAGAGTTGGAAAATTATTAATATTAAAAAACTACACGTCAAATACGGAGATGCTTAAAAGAAAGAATTTACAGATTTGCATCCTTTTTTCCATGGTTGTTACTGACGTAATGCAAGACTGTTTAGAGTAGAACGCAGATACAAAACAAAAATTGGGTACTTTGGCAGTTAACAGTTCTGTATTCGACAAAGCAAGATTCCCTGCAACAGCTTAAACTGTTTATTTAACATGTCTTTGTTTACTTGTAACAACACAGAACTTTTTGTCTGATAAAAGCATAATGAATATTTAATTTATTTGAATTTTTACTCTATGAGGATCATATATAAAAAGTCTGTAATTATTTTTTAAAAAATTTATCAAAAAAAATCTGAAAGCTTTCATATTTTACATTACACCCAAAGGGACTTTTTTTAACGTTTTGTGTGTTACCTTTATTTATTAAGTATCATATTCTTCGCACTTAAACCATAAAATTCAGTTCAACAGCAATCTCGCAAAATAATTCTAAGATGAATCTTTAAAATTTCCAATACAGAGTCTCGCGAACTGGAGATAATTTTTTTTTTTTTTTCGTACAGTGTTGCCATTCCTCACTTTGAAATCGTTGAGTCTGTTAATCAAAAAGTCTTTAATGTCTGACAAAATATGATAAAAATAATAAAACAAATTAATAACTCTTCTGGTCTCAAAATATTTAAAAGAGCATAATCTTTAGAATTTCCGATACACAATCTCGCGCGCTGGAGATTTTTTGTTTGCTTGTTTGTTTGTTTGTTGTACAGTGTTGCCATTGCCCGCTTTGAAATCGTTGAGTTTCTTAATCAGAAACTTATAAATGTTTTACAAAATATGAAATAGATAATAAAACAAATTCCAAGTTTGGGCTCCCAGATGCCCATATTCGGGTGGAGACGTACGTTATTGAAAATTTGATGGTTCTAGATGCCGTTGTTTTATCACAATATGAGAAACATACATACATTTATGCAGATTCTTCATTATTTAATTTCTTTAAATATATTACAGGGCTCTAATGGCAACAATTAAAAAAGTGACTGGCAACAATTAAAAAAGTGATTCTTCGTTTATAGTGAATCAACGCAAAGCGCCAAAACGAAATTAATAGCCCTTCTGGGATAACAGCTTTTTTAAGTGCAATATTGGAATTATTTTAAAATATATTATGTAACTAGCAGCTTCGCTGCCAGCCTTCGTCTGGCTTTTAAATGTACCAAAAAAAAAAATGGCTGAAGGGAACACCAAACGTTAAATTTAAAAACTGCGTAGAATTTTACTCTGCTGAACAACCTCATAAAAAAAAGTTATTACGTCTAACAAAATTACAATGAAATAAGCAATATCCCTTTATACAAATATTAATTATCCTAATAAATAAATTAACCAACTTCCCTTTGCAAAATCATAAGAACTCAAATGGTATAAAAGAGGTTAAGAATTTTGTTTCCTAAAAAAATCACTCAAAACTTTTCAATATCTTAAAAACAGTGAAATGAGCCATAAATAACATAAAAGAATACACAAAACAAAAAATTCTGAAAAGCAAAGTATAATTAATGATATTTTATCTTAGAAAAAAAAATACAATGAAATAAGCTTAATACAAATATTAATTATCCTAATAAAAATATTAACCAACTTTCCGTTGAAGAAAAAAAGATCATGCAAAACTTTTCAGTATCTTACAAACAGTGAAATAAACAAAAAATAACATGAAAGCAACTCAAAAAACATAAAATTCCGCGTAGAGTTTTACTCTGCAGAACAACTTTATAAAAAAAAAAATCAATAAAATTGTATTATATATATATAAAAATGACAATGAAATATGCCAATCGCTTAAAAACAGTGACGTAAGAAATACGATGAAAAATTGTTGCCAAACCCATATTTCTAAAAAAATGAAACTATTCAAAATGATGCGATTTCATCAAAAATCTATCAACAACAATAAGACAAAACTGTTGCCAAAATCACATTTTTAAAGATGTGAGAAGTGTACTCGGAAGCTTCATTTAAAAATTCTTTTAAAAATACAAAATATTATCATTTTTTGAAAATTCTTTTTGTAAAAGCAGTCGCAAGGATGAAAGCTTAACGTGTCCAAAAATCAAAGAAAGATAAGCTATACATTTTTAAAAATAAACTTTTTTAGAAGAAATCCCGTTGAAAAGGTGTTAAGCTCCCTTTGTTAAATAAATTCGTATTTAATCGATTTATTGAAACACGAAATTTATTTTAAGTTCGTAAAATAGTTAAGTGCCTACGTTTTATGACGATGTGAAAATGGAGTGTGTAAAGTAAAATCTCGCTTTCCTATAGCCCAGTATGTCACAAAATGACGCGATTTCGTCACAAAACATAAAATAAAAAAAAATTCGAATTCGAATTTCGAAAAAATCGCTTCGAGTTGCACTGACTCTTGTCTAGATGCACCTAGGTACCAAATTTCGTAGCCGTGGGTCTATTAGCATACGCAGCGCGAACGAAAGACACACACACACCACACACACACAGAGACAGACTCTTTCTTTTATTATATGTAGAGATTAAATATATTCTACGAGGATTGATAGGTAAGGAAATGAACCTGTAATCATCTTTTTAGATAATCCTATGTATATTTCGTTAATTAATATTATGCGAATTAAAAATTCAGCTTCTGGAAGGAAAGAAAGCTTTTGGGAACGAAACGAATGGAAAATTTCTAAGTTCACCTTAAACTCTGCAGAGCTTCAGCCATAACCTAGACTTAAGACCTTGTTGCCACATAATGTTAAATTATATATTTACTTTTAAGCGCATTTTAGAGCGCGGTGGTGTAGCAAATTTGCATATCACACATTCAAATTTGGAAGGTGAATGTAACGTATATTTTGCAACACGCGGTTGTGTGTTTCAAATTTCGTAACTTAGTATAGAATGACGCGGCATTCTAAATATTATTAAAATAAAATAAAATAAAATAAAAAAAACAGCATCAAATTTAAGATTGAAAATGAGACGGCTTTAAAAATTTCAATTTTAAAAAGTGTGTAATTTTAACTTAAGTCCTCCAAAAGTACCCGAAATTGTGAAGAATTTTTGATGCTCATTACCTCATGTACAAGAAAAAAAATGTTGCTTAAATGTATCGGACAGAAGTGTGTATAACTTGTTGGGTGTATCATTGTATTTATTTCCTTTTAAATTTAACTTTCGCGGTTTTTTGCTGTAGCTGACCTCTTTTTCTTTCTTCCGTTCAGATTAACTTAGTCCAGTCATAATATGCGTTTTTGTTTTCTTATAATTAATATTATGACAGATTATGCTTTAGGGTTATAGAAATATTGCTGAAGTATGTTCTGAAATAGAATAATTTTGGTAATATTAGTTATCGAAATCTCATTTCATTTTTGATTGCAGTTGCTCCCTTTGGGTCACGATGACGTCATCAGCGGTCGACCACGCCCTTCTGACGCCGCTGGATTCCTGATTGGCCGTCTGCTGACGTCACTATGGGAAGTAGTTGTTCCTCGGCTCAGAAGAAAAAAGACAAAGATCGTCAAAATGCACAAGGCGGGCAGTGAGTTATTTTTCAAATTTAATAGTATATTTAAAGCTTTGATTTTTAATTTTAATACATTTACAAAACTGATTTTTTAGATATATCTCTTCCCCGCAGGAAAAAAAAAAAAAAAAAAAAAAAAAAAAAAAAAAAAAAGAAGCAGTCATAATTTGAAAATTGTTCAAAATATCTGGAAAAGAATCGAAAGAGAATTTGTTTTTGTTATTTGAAATCAGAATTTGCTAAAGGAAGCAATAAAAAAGTGCAGAATATTTCAAAATAAAGAAACATTTTTCTTCCTTTCAAAAGTATTCTTTAAAGTAGTGAAATTAAAATTTTATCATGTCAGATATTCTGTGTATCTTACTTAAACTGACATATGTCAAAGCAACAACCAATTTCATGCTGTACTCTTTAAAGTAGTCATATACACTGATGCAGTGGTTGGCAACCAAGTCCTTATTATGTATTGGGTACACTCAGCTCATATACAGTATTTTTGATGAGTTCATAAGGAAAAGATGACGTATCATATATTTTTGTAATGCTGAAAGTATTAATTCTGCAAGACGGTAAAACATTCTTTTCCAAATATCCTAAACTTTGAATTGTGGTTATCTGTGCATAGATGGCCTATGCATCATCTACCTAAAACGTTTTGGACTCTTAATTGAAGAAGATGGGGAAATTGTTGTATTTTGGAGAAAATTTATGAATTTTTTTGTAACAAATCTGGCTGCTAAGGCTTAGAATGAAGTTAAATTCTTAGCACAAATTCATAGAGAAGAAAAACATTATAACCTTTATATTTTGTGGTTTTTGGTATACATAAAGTACTAAGGTTCTGATGATGAAGAGAATCCAAGGTTTAAAAAGTCAAGTATAAGTGAAGAAAACAAAGAATCATAAATTGAGAAAATAAAAAAAAAAAAAAAAAAAAAATTGTGAATAAATTAAGTTCAATTTTTGTAATACTATAACTTTGTGCAGTGCCCACCGTAGTGTCTAAATCGCAACACATAATCTTTAATAAAAAGGAATATGAGAGTTATAAGAATATATCCTCAAAGAATGTAGAAGAACAATTAAAGCTTTTTTAAAAGCTTTATGTATTATTTTTTAATAAACTCTATTTAAAACACTTATCACAGATTTCATATTAATTATGGGAAAGTGACAATAATAATAATAATAAAAATATGATTTAAAATTCAAATTGCTGTATTGTAAAATTGTTACTGGTCATTTAAGTGCATCCTTAACTGAAAAAGTTTGGAAATCACTACCCTAAAGGATTCTGCATCTAACGTCTTCCTGTTTCTTATCTAATCACTGTATAATAAACAATATGCATTTCTAAATCTTTTTTCATGATTAGTGGTGATTGTGTATTCTCGAACTTTATGCTTTCTAAGAATTCAGTAATTTCTGATTTAACATGTATTTCTCAAGATTGGAAATTTAGGGATTCTCAAAATGAAATTTGCTTTTAAAAAATAGAAAAAAGGCAAAAGGAATGCAGAAAATATTGGGCTGTTGTGTGTTTGTTATTTTATTTGTTATAATTGTATCAAAAAATTATTAGTATTAGTTGTAAAATTACTGACAGCTTTTCTTAAATAGTTTATCAGTCAAAAAAAGGGATGGACATTTCTCTCTCTTCCGGTCTAGTCAAGTCGACAAAATTCCACTTGCATTTTTCATCTCAAAAGCCTGACTTGGAATATATATTAGATTTATGCATAGCATTGTCTGCATATGTATTTTGACATAAAATCAGACTTATTCTGAAATTACATGCTGATTTTTTTTTCCATGTTTTGATTTTAGGCCTCAAATTATGCAAATGTTTTGTAAAAAATCGCAGCAGAAGTTTTAATAACTTTTTTAAATTATATTTACTTGATTTCTTCTTTCATAATATGAAATTTAGGTGTAATCCAAATAAAATTTAAATGACTGAAAAGAATACGACACTACTGAAAACCCTAAATTACTGAAAAGAATATCACAAAAACAAAGCCGTTTCAAAAGTGTTTACAGTATCTAGCTAATGAAAAAAGGGATGTTGATTGCAGGTATATATCTATGGGGAATAAGGCATTAAAAAGGGACATTTTTTTTTTCATAAAATTCAGTTTTTTTATATTATGTTATTTGATTGCTGTGTTTTAAAAAATTAAAAATTTTAACTTATTCTGATAAACAGATAATATGTCTAAACTAAAAGTTATATGATAAAATTATATAAAGCAATGGCATAATGATAAAACTGTGTAAAGCAGTGGAAAGTTGTGTGTATGCATATTATTCTAAATTAAAACACCTGTTATGCACCTTTCTTAATTCTATATTTTTATGAGTGCCCATTGAAAGATATATTAATCATGATTTATGGCAGTAGTCTCAAGCTCAAATTACTTGCCAGCCAAATGCATGATTGGTATGTCATTCGGTCAGAATTTTGTTTTAGCAAAATAAAAATTTCTGTTAATAAAATAAAAAACATTTTACTATATTTTAAAGTTTCCTTACCAAATATTTACCAAAACATACATAGACATTAATAATTGCAAAAAAGGAAAAAATTCGAATATATATATATATTTTGAATATATATTTCGAATTTCTATCTAAAATCTGAAATTTGGTATATGCAAGAAAGTTTTCTTGGTTACACTTTGTAACATATTGACAGCATAATATTAATATTTCAGACTGATATTTATTTAAAATAATTCTAATGTATTAATCATAAAATAACCTGCTTCAATTTAAATTAAAATAAACAAATTATGGAACCAGTAAATTTTCAGATAAAACAATGGGATGAAACTTGAAACCAAATGATGAAAATTTAATCTGCTTCTCTTATTCATTAATTTTTTTGGCACATAAATTAAAATGCATGCGTTTGTAAGTAAATATAAAATTTGTTTGTATAATGTCCATGCACTGAGAAAAATTATTAGAAATTATTTTTTCATGTATTATAGATGCTCATCAATCGATTCTATTGTTATTAATTCCTAGCTCTGAAAAAAAAGCTATTCGCATGTAAAGGTATTCCCAAGCAAAGCAGTTATTCTTTAGTGCACAATTCATAATTGAATGTATTTATATTTTTAACAGCTTTTTTAATCATATTAATATTTATTGCTCTATAATTAAGTTCATTACAACACTCTTACATAGCACATCGTTTATTCCAGACCAACATCAACTGACAATTACTTCACTTCAGTTCGACCAGCAACTAGTGTGTTGCCACATATATGTAACATCTCCTCTCTTTTGGGAAAGTCATAGGAATCAATGAATTAAATAATTATCATATTTGGATAGTTGATATACATTTCAACTACTTCTTGTTTTATATACACAATCATGATTAATATTATTGCTATTATCTTGATGGTGAGGATCATTATGTATTTTTGGATATTCACTACTTATATTTTCCTCATTCTCATTACATAGATCATAATAGTCTAATGTCACTAAATTCTGATTTTTAGTTTTTCTTAAATGGAATTTATTCCGTCTAATTACTTATTATCTTTTGTTCTAATCCAATATGATCTAGGAGTTGAATGCTTTTTTAAAACTATAGCAGGCTCCCATTTATTTTCCCATCTCAACATTACCTTTTCCCCAGGAATAAATTCAGGTCTTTCCCTTGCATGCTTATCATAATAGATTTTAGCCTGTTTCTGCTTACTCCTCACTCTTTCTCTATATTGATCTTGTACAGTTGGTTTCAATTCTGTTTGTGTAATTGGTAATCGTTTTCTTAAATTCCTACTTAATAGCATTTGATTTGGTGATAAATGTGTACCTGAAATTGGAATATTTCTATATTCCAGTAAAGCCTCATTTAATTTCTCTAATCCCGCTCTTCTAAATAAACTCTTAGCTATACCTACCAACTTTTATGCAAACCCTTTAGATTTAGGATGTCGAGGACTGCTAGTAATTATTTCAAATCCCCAATCCCTTGCGAAACTCTTCATTTTCCAACTATTAAATGGTACGTTATCACAAATTAAAGTTTTGGGTATTCTATGTGTTGCAAATATCGATTTTAATTTATTTTAACTTCCACTGCACTTTTATTTTTTAGAGGAATTATGTCTACCCATTTAGTTAAATAACAGCCTATTACTAGATAATTTTTCCACTCATACTCACAGATATCAGCACCAACCTTTTCATAAGGTAAACTGGGAATTTCATGAGAAACAAGAGGTTCTTTTACTGTTTGAGGCCTGAACCTATCACAAATTAGGCATTTAGAAATCATATTCTCAATGTCACTGTTGATTCCTGGCCGAAATAATACTTGTTGAGCCCTAGCTTTTGATTTGTCAATCCCACTGTGAGCTTCATGCAATAATGTTAGTATACACTTTCTTAGTGCAACAGGTACGACAATTCGATTATTAAAAAAAAACTAAATCTTGTTCAACACTCAACTCATTTTAAAATTTAAAATAAGATCTTGCTTCTTTAGGAACTTTATCAACACTCAAAGGCCATCCATTTTGCCAATATTCTCTCACTAACATTAACCCTTCATCTTCTATTGTAGCTTTCTGAAATTCCCTTTTCTTACTCTCAGACATTTGCAGTTGTTTTTTTGGTGTATGAACAATCTCTGTCATATCCACGTTTTCATTTGTGTGTGTATCAATAAAGGAACGTGACAGTAAATCTGCAATATGCATATATTTCCCAGGCAAATATTTAAGTTTTAAGTTATATTTTAAGAGCTTAATTTTTATCCTTTGCAATCTATTTGACAACACATTAGCAATATTTTTGTTCATATTTGAAACTAATGATTTATGATCAGTAAGCACTTTTACCTCTCTACCATAAATGTAATAGTGAAATTTATTAACAGCAAATAAAATACTAAGAAATTCTTTCTCAATCTGAGCATAGTTTTTTTCTGCATTATTTAAACTCCTAGACGAAAAAGCAATTGGTTGCCCATTTTGCAATAAGTAGCAGCC